CACCATAATCCAACCCAACTTCCTGGTCAGGTGTCCACCAGAAGCTGATCAGGGGCCAGATAAATGCAGACCAGGCTGCTGGATGAATGTAGACCAGGCTGGTGTGAGAAGCAGCATCCCTGACCACCAACTTCTGAGCAGATCCAGGCTCTAAAAGGGCAGGCCCAGGTCCCTTGGCACACAGTCTGTGGTATTCCCAGCCCGGGCTGCAAAGCAGAGTACCCTGGGACCATGCAAGCTGGGCCTTCTGGACACCTGTTCTTGCTGGAAGCTTCTAACAGTAGGGACTCTGTAATGCTCAGAGCGAATGAAATGCTGAAGAACCCCTTTGTCTTTTACCACCACAAATCTTAGCATCCCCAAGCCAGGTTTCACAACCATGCCTCACATAGATCATTGTTCCACGGATGCCTTTCTGGGCAGCGGAAAGGTCTGTAGGGAAGCCTACTCAAATGTACCAGGGTCCAGGAAGTCCAGCTTCCTGGATCCCAGAAGATTGCCCCCTGGTGGCAGGAGAGGTTAGTATGCTAGGAAGCAGCCTCTGGTAGAAAACCTTGAATTGGGGGATATAAATGCAGGCTACAGCTTGGAAACTGTGTGGATGCCACGAAGGTTTTCATAAACAAAAACAAGCTGAGAAATGGGTAGGGAGGGGTGTGGGGTCCCCAGTGATGGCAGGGGATGAGATAAATCCTCATCCTGCTTTGACACAGTGTATACATGTGTGGAAACACTAGATAGTATTCCATGTATGTGAAGTTTTATGTCCATCAAAAATGAAAAATAAGTATAAAAATTAAAAGTAACATCAGATATCTAAAATAATGAGTAAAATGAAATGCATTTTACAGTACTGGGGCTTGAACTTGGCCTCATGCTTTCTAGCAGATGCTTTACCACTTGAACCACACTTCTAGCCCTTGAAATGCATTTTAATGAACTATAGAAATGATCCTTAAAAGTGTAGCCTTACATGTCCTGCATGTTGGTCACAGAGGTGGAGACTTGTATGTGTGGGAGCTTTGTCCCTGGAACACTTACTATTCCAGGCAGTTAGGTGCAACTGCAGCAATTTTATGTGTGGTTTCACCAGGAACCATTGACTTTGTCAAGACAAAGCCACTGTGTCAATCAGGATGCTTTTGGAATGCAGCATTTGCAGCTCCTGGAGTTTCCTGCCTGGTAAATACAGGGACTGTGATAAACTCTAGCTCATATGATTGCATCCAAATAGAGACAGATGGGTGAAGTGTTTACCACTGCATGTGCTGGTGGCAGACAGCTTCTATTTGACCATATTGGTGAGAACTAAGTTCTTGCTTGTGCTAGCCTTTGACTCTGTCCCTCCATTTGGCACTGAGCAGGTACCCAATGTGCTTGGCAGCACCGGACACTCCATTGGCTAATGACCACTTACCTCCACAGAGGGGAGCTACCCCATGTCAATGAATGTTATTCAGAAAGATTCCCAGGTTGAGTCTCTCTTACTTGAACTCCCAAAGTACCTGTGGTCCCTGATGACCCCCAACATGAATGAAAATATTGGAGAATGGGCCAGGTAAAGAAACCAAATCTGCTTCCAGTTAGCTTAACCAGTTGCTACTAAAATACATATGTATTGTATATTTTTCAAATAGTAATGACGCAAACACACCACTAAGCTACAAAGCGTAGCTTCATTGCAGTTTTATGCCAGAGTATAAGACCAAAGACAACAATAGTCACACTCTGTGTCCTCTCATCTTTCCAGGACTGTGACTGTGTGGTACTTTTGTGAATGTTCTATGGAATTTATTTATGTTTTGAAACACTGAAAGAATTCTAGTGTTCAACCACCTTTAAGATGGTTGGAATAAATTCTACTTGGTCAGGATTATACTATTTCTAGGATCAACTCTGTTTGGTCTGCTGTACTGAACTTCTGCAAATTTAGGTACTTTCAGGGATTTAAATGACATATTTATCATAAAGTGATTTTCTGCAATACTGGGTCCCTGTTCTGAATGTCCAGTTTTATCCACTGATCCTTCTGTTCATTCACGTGCAGACACAAATTGTCCAGTCTCTGCTGTGATTGCAGGATCTATATGGGATATTTTTATATCTGCTGCATTAGCCTCCCTACACACACAACATAACACTGGCGGCATTCAAATATAGTTTATTCCTGACCATTCTTGCTTGCTTGTGGTTTGATATGAACTATGAAGTCAACTTATCTAGCACCATTAAAAAAAAGTTTGAGTTGTTCCGCCTGAGAATATAGACTGTCCTCTCACTTGTTCAAATTCACCTTTTCTTTGTGTTTTGTTTTGGTTTTGAGGGGTGCTATGGTTTGCATGTATCCTCAAAATTCATATGTTGGAAACTTAATCCTCCAAGTCATGTTAATGGTGTGTGGACGTGGGATCTTGGGAGAGTGATTGGGTCTGAGGACCCTACCCTCATGAATACATGCATATGTTGATGGACTAATGGGTTAAGGTGGGAGTGACTTTTACAACAGTGAGCTCTTTCTGACAGCTGCTCTTCCCTTCACCATGTTGTGATGGATCAAGAAAGCCCTCACTCAAGAAAGATAAGTGAAGAACAAAACAAAACAAAAAAACCAAGAAAGTAAACCCTCACCAGATGTCGGCTCCACACACTTGGGCTTCCCCGCTTCCAGACAATGAGTCAAATAAACCTCTGTTCATTTTAAGTCACCCAATCTGTGGTATTGTGTCACAGTGACAGAAAGTGGATTGCAACTAGGGACATTTTTAAGAGATCCTCACACAGATTTTCATATTTCTTGGTATGCCTTTAAGTATGTTGTGTTTTCTGTTGCTGTTCTATTCGATATCTTCTGTACTTCCTAACTGGTATACAGACACTTTTGTAATGGTCACTTAATGACTTTAATGAGCTGTCTACCATCTGTGGTAGTTTCACATCGTTCTCTGGGGCATGCCAGATACACTATAACGTCTTTTGTGGCAGGAGGTAAATCAGACCCTCCTTTCCATTTCCTTGGACAGCTTCTCTTGCATGGGTGTAGTGATGGAGGCTTCCCACGGTGCTTAGGAACAGTGGCTACAATGGCCATGCTCATGACCTGAGTGGAAGTGTGCAAGTGTTTCCCTGCTAAGCACAGTGTTAGCTGCAGGTTGAGGTATACTTATATGTATCTTCCCACCCAGCAATTTCCTTTCTTTTTTTTTTTGCAGTGCTGAGGTTTGAACTCAGGGCCTCATGCGTGCTAGGCTGATACTCTTATTACTTGAGCCACTCTGTCAGCCTACCCAGCAATTCTACCTCATTTTAAAATTGGAAATGGGTTTTGAAGATGTCAAAAGATTCTTTGTAAATATCTTCTTAGCAGAGCAGTTAATAGGGTGAATTATATCAGTGGGTTTCCTCAAATCGGGATAGGTCCTACTCAATTATAATGCACTATTTTGAAAAATAATATGTGATTCTGTTTGCCATCTTTCGTTAGAATTTTTAGATTCCTATCTATAAGTTGGGTTGTCTTAGTCTTTTTTTATGTGTGTAATGTTAAATCAGATTTATGTCTTCATGTCTACTTGCTCCCGGGCAGTTGTGGGAGATGTCCTCTTTCATACTCTGGAGTTGAAGGTTTCATGCAGTTCCAAGAAAATCATCCCAGCCCAGGGCTTTTTCTGAGTGGGGATCTTCTTAAATTTCTCCATCAGTTTCATGGAATTTGATCTATTTAAACCTTCTATCTCTACTAGGGTTACTTTTGATAAACTTTTTTTCCTAAAAAATTCCACTTTTCATTAAAATTAATTTTCATTATCTCTTATGGTTTCTTACATTTTCTCTGTTTCAGTAGATATTTTCTCCTGTCATTTCTGTTTTGTGTATTTTTTGTTCTCATGCTTTATCTTGATTTGGTTAGTGATTTTTCCCTTACTTTTTGATTTAATTTTTTGCAAAAACTGGCATTCTGAAATACAGTCCTCCCTTGGGATCTGTGTCAAATTGGCTCCAGGACCCCATAGGTATATGGTTCAGTATTTGCATAGAACCTATGGGTTTAAATCATCTCTAAATAATTTATGATACCTAATACAATGTAAATGCTACATAAATGGTTGTTATACTGTATTGTTTAGGGAACAATGGCAAGAAAAAATAAGCTTGTTCATGTTTAGTAGAGATGAAATTTTGGGGGTCATTTGAAGTTGGGGCTGGTGGAGTGACTCAAGTGTAAGGGCACCTACCACTTACAAGTGTAAGGACCTAAGTTCAAACCCCAGTGCTGAAAAAAAATTGGTGGTGTGTGTGGAGAATATTTTCAATCCCAGGTTGGTTAAATCTGAGAATGCATATCCTATGGATATGGAGCACTGACTGTATCACACTTGGTGTTTTCTTTTTTTTTTTTTAATTTTTGGCTCATTCATTCCACACGTATCTTTTTTGTTACTTCCTTATTCCTACCTACTCTCAGCTCATGTGTTCTGCTTTTTCAAATTGGCTGTTTAAATGTCATTAGAACTCTTTTCTGATGACAGGTTTAAATATTTAAACAATGCCTTTTCCTTCTGCCTCTCTTAGTCTGCACCCACAGACTCACACAGGTACTAGAAAGCCTCAGTTTGATCTGTGCTTCTCCTTTCATGCTGTGGGCACCTGCCCCATGGTGGACAGATGGCCCTCCCTTCTGTGGAGGGTACTCACCCTTTGGGTGGATGAAAAAACTTGCAGCAACTCTGGAATGCTTGCTTCATAAATGTTTAATAATCTTATCAAATCTCAGATGTGCTCAGCCCAAGCTCTTGGCTCTCCCTTTGCATCCCTCTGCCCCTTTGGCTAATTACTGACATTCCCCCTTTCTTCTTTTGCTCAGCCCCTCACAAACCCTGCATCTGGGTCCAACATTCTGGGCTCTGGAGAGACTGCTAGAAGATGCATGGAGGCCTGGAGAGGAACAGGACAGGAACAGGGCATGAAGCCATGAGGAAGCTGTGAGGGTAGGGTCTCTGCCCTCACAACACTGACAAGCCAACCAGCATGATCACAAGAACAAGATGAGCAGCTTCTAGAGATGGAGAAAGAGCGGGAGATGGCTGAAGAGGAACAGGTGTGATTTCTATGTGATAACGGATCCAATTGGAGTAATAGGAGACGCGGGCATAGACTCCGGGATACATGGGTTGGGCACACCCACGGCCCCAGCTCACGATTCCAATCTGTAACCAGGTATGGTTGAATTCACACACCAGAGGGCCCCCAGAGTCACCCTATAAAGGAAGAAGGGTTTTTTGTCATGTGGGGGGTCAATGGCTTGCCCTTTAGGTGCAGAGAGGTTGGCTGGGGGGCCTCCACCACCCCTGCCTGGCTACAACAGGGCTAAGAGCCACAGGGCCAAGGCCCACTGCAGGTGTAATGTGATCATGCATTGTCTGTCTGTATATAGCCACCCCAGGGTCCCCACTGAGCCCAGACCCCAAGGTCCCCGCTAAGCCCAGACCCCAAACGATAAGGTGGGGACATACTTCGCATACGGTCTTTATGTTCATGATGTCCCCAGCACACAGCATGTCTGGCAGAATGAAAGATGAGTATCCATAGAGCAGCTGGCAGAGGTTCTTGGGGATCAGAGGCAGTTGGACCTCCTGCAGCTCATCCAAGGAAAAGCCTGTGGGGGGAAGAGTGGCCAGGTGAGGGCTCCTTCCTGCAGCAGATAAGGTCCTAGTTCCTGATAGTCAGGAGGCAGGGACACACCTGAGTTCTGGTCCAGCACAAGAGAAAGCCTGCTTACTGATAAAAGGCTCTCCAGCCAAACACCATGAGCCTAGGAGGATCTCTGGCCACATACAAGAGCCCTGCTCAAACAATGGAGAGGGGAACCTCACCCACACACCTTTAGGGAAAGGTTTTGTCTGACACTCCATTGTCCTTCCCCCACCCACATAAATCCTTTTCTCTGTTTCAGTGTGGATAATTTCTATTGACTTATCTTCAAGTTCAATGATTTTTCCTCTCTGCTGTGCTCAGTCTGCTGATAATCCCATAAAGGAATTTTTCATCTCTCAGTATGTTTTTATTTCTAGCATTTCCAATGGCTTCTTTCCCTATAATTTGCCTCTTTCTTCTTAGATTGTTCTCTTACCCACACCCCAAACTCTAGTGACTACTTTCTACTTTTCTATGAGATCTGTGCTTTGTTCTTACCTCGTTGTGAGACTAGTCCCCATCCAGTAGCCCAGCAAGAAACACTGGTAAGGTTCACGTTGGGAGGTGCTAGGCAGATGGGGAGCACGGAGTCAGAAAACTCAATGGGGGTCTTCACTTGCACGAGCGCCACATCTCCTCCAATGGGGTGGAACAGTTCATAGGTGGGGTGCAAGATCACCTGGTTCACCTCATACCACTGGGTGTACGTGTCAGCTACCCTGAGGTTGATGATGCCCACATACAAGTCAAACATTTCAAACCTCTTCTCTCTGTCGGCCAGAACAAAAGCTCACTGACTGAAACCCCCCTGCTCCATCAGTCCACAGACAGGGTTGGGGGAAGGGGGCAGAATTGAAAAGTCAATTTCTATTTGCAGCTTGGTGGGGGACCTGTCTGGCTGTCTGGCATAGCTGCTCTCAAAGAGGTCCTAACTTAGGCCCATAGAGACTCCAAGGATCTTCAAGAGCTTCTGGTCATCAGTTGTAGGAACCAGATATCATTACATGGACTCCCCCTTACATCTTACTGGGCTGACTACACACTTCCCACAGGGGTCAGATAGCCAAGAGGAGCTGTGCCCGACAGCTGTGGTAGATCTGGCTGTGTGAGGCTCAGTGGACAGGGCTATGTGCATGGAGACAGGTAGTGCTCAGTGAATGGCGTTGTGTGGGTGGAGGGCACCCTCTAGTGTGGGGACATTGCTGTTGCGGTGGGGGAGTGATCAGCCAAGCAGGATGGAGCTGCTGATGTGGGGCAGGCCTTGCAAGTGGAGTCCAGCCTCTCAGGCCAGGGGTGGGGTCTCTTCTGTAGACAAAGGCCATGCTTATGGGAACGGGGCTCTGGGGGTGAGAACTGGGCTGTGCACTGGTCAGTGCAGATGAATGAAGCCATGCTGGTCCATGAGCACCAGGCTGAAGAGTGGGGACAGGGGAATGTGTGGATCAGATGCAGTGGTTGGGGCTGGGTGCATTGGACTGCCACATTGGATGCAGCAGTGCAAACCATTGAGGACACGTCGTGCGGGCTTCTCCTTTCTTCCTGCTCCCCCTACCCCCTTACCTGCCGAAGCAGTGAGCGGCTGACAGCACCCAGTACTCGTTGAGGATCGAGCCACCACAGACATGGAAGCCGGCATAATGCACGCTGACCTGCCACGGCCACTTTCTCTTGGGGGCAGGTGCTCCGCCTAGGATCTTACCCTGTATAGGCCGCTTACCACAGGCTAAGAAGGAGGAAGTGCAGAGTCAAAACAAGGCCAGAACCCTCTCATGGCCTGCAGGGGACCAGTGGGGCGGAGCCACAGGGGAGAGACTAGACAGGGGGCCCAACGGCACAGGCTCCACCCAGGGACCTACCCACATATTTGCTCAGGGAATCTCCCTGGCTCTTGGGCTGTTCATGAACCGTGGTCATAACCCGACTGGGGGGCCCCAGCAAGAACAGGAGCAGGAGGACACCCAAGGCTGAGGGTCGCCGTGAGCTCAGGCCATATGCAGGGGCAGCCATGAAGCCGGAGGAGCGCCCCCAGCAGGTGAGGAAGCCTGGCCAGAACATGTGACAGCGCCCCCAACAGGTGAAGGCACGCGTGCTGGACACGTGACACCACCTGATCCCAGGATGTGTGATGGCGCCCCCAGCGGGTGACTGTGTTCCCATTTAATTAGCATGCTGAATACGCAAGGGAACCTAAGCCTGGACACATGACTGCCAGCAGATCCTTGAGACCACCAAATGACTGAACCCCAGCAAGTGAAGATGCCTGAGCTGGACACGTGACAGTGCCTGAGCCGGACACGTGACAGTGCCTGAGCCGTGGATATTTGGCCCCCAGAAGGCGAGGGCACCCCAGCCTGGATACTTCAAGGAGCCCCCAGCAGGTGACTGCACTCGCAGCAGGTGAGGATGTACCAAACTCTGATATCCTCAGCTTTCCCTATGGCAGACTCAGTGCTGTTAAATCATTACTATGTGCCCTCCAGCTATCAAAAAAATTTTTTAAATTAAAGCCTCATTTGCACACAATAAAATATACTCCTTTTTGCAAGTTTTGACAAGTGCATAGGACTTTGTAATAAAGGAGGAGGAAAATGGTAAAACCTTATTAGGAGATGTTAAAATCAAATGAATGGAATGATATCCAATGTCCATGGATAAAAAAAAGCTTAATATCACAAAAACATTTGTTTCCAATCAATCAGTGCAATTCCAATCAAAAGGCAGACATGGTTTTTAAATACACTCTAAAAACTTGTTTTTAGTTATATTTCCCTACAAATATCAAATTTTATTATGATGCTACAGTAATTAAGACATAAGTGGAACAAAAAAATTGACAGATCATGGAATTTACTTCAGTTCAGTCTATTATAACAAAAGTACTATATACTGTGTGGCTTATAAACAACAGCCATTTATTTCCCACAGTTCTGCAGGCTGAATGTCTGAGATCAGGGAGCTAGCCTGGCCAGGTCCTGGGAGTGCTTCCTGCTGGTTTTCAGACTGTTGTCTGCTGGCTGTGTTCTCACATAGCAGAGAGGATGAGAGTGGTCTCTAAGGTTCCTTTTATAAGGGTAATACTACCATTCATGAGGCCTCCCAAAGGCCCCACTTCCAAATACTACACTGGGAGTTAAAATTTCAATCCATGAATTGGGGAGGGTATAAACATTCAATCTACTATATTAATAAAACCCAGAATTACATCTTTATAGATATGGAGGCTTTTTACATAACTAAAGTGGCGGTCAATGTTGGAAAAGAGGGACTATTCAATAGTGGTTCTTGAAAACAGTAAACTGCATGAGGGGAAATGAAATAAGAACACTGTATCAATCTTTATATAAAAATAAACCTAAATGACCAAGGGAACACTTTAAAACTTTAGATTAAAATATGGATAGGCTTTCACTAACAGGAAACAACAATAATAAATAATAAGGCCATTCCTCCCAATGAAGACAAGTAAAAATTCATGATAAAACATAAAAGTCATCTCCATAGAAGCAGGAAATTCCTAAAATGTGGTGACAACTCACCAGAATGAGACCAAGGAGATCCAGACATTCAAAGTGGACCCTGACCTTTTAGGAAAGGCAGAGAAGGGACGCTGTGTCATTTTTGGCATCTTTTTGGGTTACAGAAACAAAATATGAGTCCTGTACTCATCAAGGGTGTGGACCACGGTCAACCACACCTGCTTTTGGTTGAAAACAAGAGGTGATGCACCCCAGGAGTTAGAGTGAATCAGCTTTTTGGTGGACTGCAGCCAAGCTTTGAATCATCTGAGTGGCTCAAGCCCTGAACTCAGAAAAATCTCAAGTTCTCAAGCCCAAACTCATGTAACTACAGATGGTGAGGGTACCTATGTACCTAGCAAATGCAAACACAAATCCTCTTATGGCAATGATAATATCACATTTAGCCTTCAATCATTTCTACAAATAAAATTTAAATTCCTCTCCATCACATAAGTAAAGATGACCAGAAACATGACCAAGAACCAGCTGAACAATAGACATGAAGAAATCCAGATATTTGAATTATCAGCCAGAAACCATAAAATGAATGTGCTCATTGTGCTCAAGGGGATAAAACGAGTCTTGTAAACTTTTTTTGCAACAACTAGACACTATAAATTTGGCCAAGGAGATTTTTTAAAAGAACCATCATTGAACCTCTAGAAATAAAACCATAAAAATCACAATTCAGAACTCATCAAATGGTTTTAACAACAGTTTAGACTCAGATGGAGAGAGGATTTATAAAGTAGAATTTAAGTCAGAAGAAGCTACCCATAATGAGAAGAAAAAAGATGCTTAGAAAATAAGCATGAATGTACTTTTGTGCTATGTGTTCTTCTTCCTCCTTTCTTCTTAGTTTTTTTTCTAACAAAAGAGTGCTTGCTACTTTTGTTTGTTTCTTTGTTTGTTTGTTTTTTCTATACAGAGTCTTGCTATGCAAACCAGGCTGGGCTCAGAATTTTCCTCCTTCCTCAGCCTCCCAGTTCCCGCATTAGTTTCAATTTCTTTTTTTTTTTTTTTTTAGTGGTATTAGGGTTTGAACTCAGAGCTTCACACATACTAGACAGGCACTGTACCACCTGAGACACTCTGCCAGCCCAGTTTCAATTTTTAAAAATAAAATAATAAAGCCAAGATGTACTAATAGGGGCCAGATTGAGTTTCTGCCTGGAGCAACCAAAAATAAAAAGAAAGGAAGAAGCTGGTTTTCAAGAAGGTATGAATGATTGTGATCCCAGAGGGAACTGGAAAGAAGTGGAGATAGCCCCACAATTGCCTCTGTTTCTGGGACACAGCACAGAAAGTAGCCCAGATAGGGCATGATAGCATGCCTGAACTGGAAGAGAGAGGCAAATGAGGAAGACCAAGTTAACCAAGAAGAGAGAGCTGGGCAAAGATATAACCAATTTGAATGGGCTCTCGTCCTAGAGTCAGGTGTGAAAAACACTCAAGGCTGGAGAAACAGTCTCCCAAGAGAATTAAGGAAGTTGTCAGTCAGTGCTCATACCCCATAGGTGGGTGTTGGTTCCCATGAGCCAGACATGTAAGGTTCCTGCCTCACAGGGCACTGTGTAGAGTGTTTCTGAGGTTCTAAGCAGTGAGGAATAATTATCACTAAGTTAAAAGGCCCTCCAGATCACCTAACAAATCATAAAGCAAGACCTGAGAAGGCGTAGCTCGACTTCAAGCAACTTACATGAATCTCAGATTAAACTTAAGATTTCTAGGAATGCAAAAATATCTAGCACCCAACAAAATAAAATTCACAGTGCCTGGCATCTACTTAAAGAATACTAGCCTCACAAAGAAGCAAAAACCCCACAATTCATAAAGTAGAGAAATAACTGGCCAGTCAAAACCAACTGGCAACTTATTCATGTCAGAATGAGTGAACAAGGACATTAAAATGGATATTACAACTGTGTTCCATACACTCAATACTTTCATACACGGAAGTATGAAAGACATTAAAGAGACACAAACTGAATTTACAGAATGAAGTCATAATGTCTGAAATGAAAAATACACTTGGTAAAATTAATGGTGGATTAGATACTGTAGATCGTAAGACTAATGAACTTAAAGACATAGAAAAAAACTAGAAGGAGAAACAAGAGGGAAAATTTAAAGGTAGTAGAATAAGTAGAAAATCAATAAAATATAGAAAATAGTAAAATATAGAAAAAAGAGAAAACAAAAAGTAAAATAAAAATTAAAAGGCAGGAAAAGGAAATGATAAAGATTGGAGATGAAAATAAAAGAGAAAATAGAAAAATAATGTACACCAATAAAACCAAAAGCTGGTTCCTTGAGAAAAATCAATGAAATTGATGTACCTCTTGCTACAGTAAGAAGGAAAATAGAGAAGATATAAATTACCAATGTCAAGAATAAGGAAGGTGATATGGCTACAGATCCTACAGATAACAAAATGAAAAGAAAGGGATCTTTTGATCAACTTTTTGCCAATAAATTTGACAACTTAGGTGAAGTGGACAAGTGCCTTGACAGACAGAAACTTGCACAGAGTACTGAGGAAAAATAGATCCTATTTAAGACCCTGAAAAACAGGGTCTCAAAAAAACTCTGTACACCCATGCTCATAATAGTATTATTGACAATAGCTAAAATGAGGAAACATCACAGTCTCCATCAATGGATGACCAAATAAGCAAAATATGGTCTATTCATCAATGGAATATTATTTAGTCTTAGGAAGGAACTTCTGACCTATGCTGCAATATGAATGAATCTTGAGTTACATATGTAAGTACTTTTCTTCTCTTCTTCCTCCTCCCTTCCTTCTTCCCTCCCTCCATCCCTGCCTTCCTTCTTTGCTCCCTTCCTTCCTAGCATATATTAATTGTACAGACCAATGGCTTTCATTGTGAAATTTCCATACATGTATCAATGTACTTTTATCATATCCACTCCATCACTCTCTCTCATTCTTTCTTCTCCCTCTTCTTCCCTAATAGGCCCCCTTCTACTTTCATGTCTTTTTTTTTTCTTCTAGATTGCATACATGAGAGAAAATGTGGGATACTTGTCTTTCTGAGTTTGGATTATTTTGCTCAGCATGATGATCTCCACTTTGCTCCATTTTCCTGAGAAATGACATGATTTCATTCTTTTTTTTTTCCTGTTCACTGTTGACTTCATTCTTCTTAATGGCTGAGTACTATATATACATACTATATATACTATACATATATATATATACACAGATATATTACATTTCTTTATAAGAAGAATATATATTCTGTAGCTGTTAGATGGAATTTTCTGTCAATGTTTTTTAAGTGAATTTGATCTATGGTACAAGTCTATCTCTGGTTTCTTTGTTGATTTTTTTTTGGTCAGGGTGATCTATCTATTAATGAGAGGGGGCTCTTGAAATCCTCTACTACTATTGTATCTGGACCTATCTGTCTCTTTATGTCCAGTAGTGTTTGTTTAGTAGCACTAGTGCACCAATATTGGTGC